ATTATTATTATTATTATTATTATTATTATTATTATTATTATTATTATTATAACACCTGACAGTGTCGCTTATACAACAAAGTCGATATCTGCCACAATCGGAATCGGCAGATCAGGCTTTTTAGAGATCGGTGATCGGCCATCTCGTCCGTGGGACAATCAGTTCTCCCCTAGTTTGACCCAAGTCATACAGTTTTAAGGGCAATGGTACCAAATACTAATGAAGTGTATTTCAACATTTGACTGAAGAAAGTAATAAAAATGGCCTTAAAAAAAATGCTCACTCATTAGTCTGGCATTTTGCAAATTAAAAAAAAAATGTTGGTAATCCTACTTGACCTAAAATTGGAAAGTTTATTCTGATTTCACGTCAGACAGTGTGGGGGAAAAAATGCATGTCTTTTTAAATAGTGTAAACTTCTAGTTTCAACTGTGTATATCTGTAAACTGGTCGACCCGAACATTTGAGGAAACTTCACTTTCAAGGAACGTTGAATACTAGATAACATAATTTACCCAAATGATTTGGGTGACTGAAGATTAATCTATGGTGTCGAAGACCACCATTGGTCACCCCCTGGCTTCACCGTTGCACCTGGTGGTGAATAAAATTCCTCCACTCACCAGGATCCATCCCAATGTGCTGCCTCGGACAAGAAAAAAGAACCTACCTCCATTCTTCGACACAGTGCCACTCCTACCCACTTGAATATTTTGAATATTTGCAGGTTTACCTGCGTTCTCTGTTCAGAGAACACTCCTGTTCAAATCCCTCATTGACGGGGACATCAGCGTACCGCTTGCCTATTGATTAAAAGAAACTCCTTGATATAGTTGAAGCTTTTTTTTTCATGTGCACAGCTCACTAGTTGTAGTCTTCAGAAAAATGTCGCATCTAACACAAGGGTCAGCTTCACCTCTGATTACCAGTAGTTCTTCTTGCTCCGAGATGCTCAGACTGGCACTGAATCACTCTTCAACCTAAAGGCTCTGGTTTTAAAAACTGTATTACAAACTCTCTGAAAGGAAAAGTTGATGAATGTGACCCCAGCTGTCCGTTTCCTCCTCAAAGCTTTTACTTTATTTTGTCTCTTGATGTTCGACCTTGTGTTTTCTCTTTAGGTTTCCTTTTTACTTTGAGCTAAAAATTGCCTTTGTGATCTGGCTCCTGTCCCCGTACACTAAAGGCTCCAGCGTCCTGTACCGCAAGTTTGTCCACCCAACGCTGTCCAACAAAGAGAAGGTAGGACAGTTTGATGTCTATGTAAGGATATTCCTATTTGTTTCACAATTGTTTCCTCACCCCTACAATTTATTTCTTGGGTTTTTTTTTTTTACGTCTCCTCTGAACGGTTTAAGGAAATCGATGAGTACATCACTCAGGCTAAAGACAGGAGTTATGAGACCATGATGAGGTTTGGAAAACGAGGTCTCAACCTCGCTGCCAACGCTGCCGTCACTGCAGCCACCAAGGTGAGCTGTCCGCTGTGCGACGTCGTCACAGTTTGGTCAGAAACCATTAATGCTTCTGGTTACATGCAGGCTTTGACCGCTGTGATGTTGTCCTTTTTATAGATTTGTTCCTGATCAGATGGATCTTTAGCTCTGGACTGAATCCAGTTAAACTAACTGCTGATGACAGAAAGTTTTATCTGGCGCTTCTCGATCAATCGGCAAAATCACATTCTGATTTTGTAGTCCAAATTTGAAATCCTTCAGTTTGATCAAAAAAATAAAAAAACTTAAAACTACCCAATATGAGTCAAAGCCTTTCTTTGGATCAGCCTCCCAAACTCGCTGTTCTTGAGCAGTTTTGATCTTAATCTATTCTGTTTTTAAAAATAAAAAGGGTTAAATCGTGTTACCAGTTTCTTTAAGTGAGAAACGTTTCATCTTCCATCCAGAGGACTTCCTCAGTCTACAGCCTGCCGACCAGATCTGTCCCATAGGTAACCTTCAGTGCTGTGTTTCAAGCCAACCTCCTGTTGGAATCTCAGAATTAGGCTTTTAACACGTCGTCATGTACAACAATCAGTTTTAGGCCAGATGGCCAACTTGCTACTCACAGATACAGCCTGAGGACAACCAAGGCCAACATGGTTCAGAAAAAGGTTGTAAGCTCAGTCCAGGTAGAAACTGGTCCAGATGACACGATTTAACCTTTTTTTTTTTTTTTTTTTATATCATCTACCTGGATGATTGAGCTTACAACCCCTATTCTGTTTTTAGATTTTCTAATTGATGTGTTATGAAACACCAGCATGGTTTACTTTAAACATACAAGTGTTGAGCAAGCATTTTAAATGCAGATTCTTATCGTTTCAACGTTTGCACAACTTCTATTTCATCAAGTTTACATTCAGAAGGTCTGATTTGTAGCCACAATTATCAATAGTTATCATTTTGTAATAGCTTATTTCTGACCAATATTTAAATTTTAAACTAGAAAAGGTACAGTGACATGAAATAAGAGAATCCAGCAAATCCTAGAAATATTTACTTTTTTATTTATTAACCTCGTAAAGGTTCCACTGCAGAGCTTCACCCATGTCCCTGAAGGGATACTGTAGAAGTAACATTGTACATCCTGATGGAGGAGTGAGGAGGATGAGACTCTTATTTATAAAACATTTGATGAACTTTATGGCAAAATTCAAATTTTACAGACTTTATCACATCATTCTTTTGTGGGTAAAGTTCCATTGCTTCTTTGCCAAACCAAAACGTCCAGAAAAACAGATCTTATTTTGTGCTCATTCGTGTGTGTCTGCGTTTTGCTGTGACGTTCAGGGGCAGGGCGTGCTGTCGGACAAGCTGCGGAGTTTCAGCATGCAGGATCTGACTCTCATCAACACGGAGGATGAGCTGGATCTGCACACGTCAGAGGTTCGGGTGAGACGAGACCCCACGGACGAGATGAGCTGTGGGGCCAGCACGCTGCCCCGGGCGAAGAGCGTCACCACACGACAGAGTAAGACCACCCAACGCCTCTCCTAGCTTCAGACTGAGATGAAATTAAATTCAGTATATTTGTATAGCACCAAATCACAACAGAAGTTGTCTCAGGACTCTGTGCAGAAACATTCACATACCCAGTCCCTTGTTTAGCATGGGTGTTAGGTTCTAATCCCCCCCCCCCCCCCCCACACACACACACACACACACACGCGATAAGTGAAAAACCGCGATGTAGGGAAGGTATAATATTTATTTTAGTATTTATATATATTTCTAGGCTTTATAAACCCTTCCCACACTCTTGCAATGTTCTAAACTTTTAAACCTACATCATTTAACAACATGCAGTACTGTATATGTAGCTACTAAATTTTACTTACCAGCGTGTCCCTGCTCGGACGTCCTCATTGGCCAGTTGAAAAAGATACAAAAAGTCCCGTTAATCTTCAGATGGCTCATCGGATCATCGGACGCACGCGTTTGCTGACAGCTCGTCGTCGGCCAGTCGAAACGGATGAATAAAGTCTCGTTAACGGACAATCGCATCTGCTCGGAGGTCCTCGTGGGCGGGCTACCAGCTCTCAAGATTCACCAATGTGTATGGAGGTCTGGTTCTACTTCTGTTCTGGTCTGGTTCGGTGGGTTCAATACGGCTTCTCTGCATCCGCTTGGCACCGAGCAGATCAAAACTTTCCCTCTGTTTTTTTTTCAGCATAAGGAAATGGGGCTTCTGGGCGGGGTCCTGTTGCCTTCTGGGAAATGTGGCCATTATGAGAGGGAATAAAGTGGATGATCACTGAGTGAAAACTACAAAGTAGTGGCGCCTGTCCAAAGTATTTCTATTTTTGTCATTAACTTTTTCACAACTGCGAGTACAGTGTAGTGATATTACTGTACAGTCCACAATCATAAAAAAATAAAAAATCCAATATTTTGGATGTCCACAAACAAGTCTGTGGAAGTCCAAGTAGTGAGAGACTACTGTACGTACAAAAGCCAATTAGTAAGTTATCCATTTAATCAAGGAAGCCAACAGATTTGTGGAATCTTCACTTTGTCACAGTCCATCCTGAGCAAGCACAATGGCAACAATGGAAAGGAAAAACTCCTTTTCAACAGGAAGAAACCTCCAAATAAAACGGACTCGGGACAAGTGGCCATCTGCTTTGACCAGCTGGGAGGTTCTAGTCAAAGTCAAAGTTTCTTTATTTGTCATACATGCCACATGTGGCACGTGTGGTGGAATGAAATTGTGCACACAGGGTCCCAGTTACATCCAACAAAAGTATAAAATGTAAAAAAAAACAACCAAACAAACAAAAAACCAATAAGATCTAAGATATGAACTAAGAAAAATATTAAACTAAAATATGCTATACACTAATAGTACAAAAACAATATGCCGAACAGCAGCATGAACATGTCTGTGTGAGCAGGTGAGTCTGTGTGTAAGAGGACAGGAAGGAGAGACAAATGAACACAGAATGGCAGGTTCAGATGTAGGTGCAGGTGTACCCCCTATTGGAAGAAAGACAAAAACACATGTCAAGGATAGAAATAATAAGTGCAGGCAGTCGCCTATTATTATTCGCCTCGGAAGTGTGTCTACATTTCTATCTCTGTTACTGCGTCCCGAACCACAATATCTACCCCCACAAAAGTTATATCAGAACGACCCGCTCGGCCCCGTGATGTGTGCTATTACTTTTATTGGCATTTCGAGTTACCATGGCAACGCGATTTTGCGAACAAAGATGTAATATGTCACCAATTCCAGGAACTAGTTGGTGACTGGCCTGATAAGCGTATCTTTTTCTACTTTTTAATACGGCCCAAACCGAAACATGGACCCCCACAAAAGTTTTATCACAATGACCGGCCCGGCTCCGGGAAGTGTGCAGTTACTTTTATTGGCATTCGCAGTTACCATGGTGACATATTTTTGCTAACAAAGATGCCAAATTTTCCATAGGAAATGAATAGGAGAAAACTCTTCGCAGAAACTGAGTAACGTATGGAGCCATTTTGGTTCAACGTGCAAGGAAGACGGTACATTATGCAATGCATGGAAGGCACATTATTAATATTGTTGTTGTTGTTGTTGTTGTTGTTGTTGTTGTTGTTGTTGTTGCTGTTGTTGTTGTTAATAACACATCACGGTGCCGAGCCAGTCGTTTTTATATAACTTTTGTGGGGGTAGACTTTGTAGTTCAGGCCGCAGTAACAGAGATAGAAATGTAGGCTCACTTCCGAGGGGAATAATAATAGGTGACTGCCATGCATGACAGTCCCCCCAAAAAACTTGCATGAAGTCAAAGACACGTTCACAGATCTTTGTCTCTGCAGCTTCCAAACTGAGCTGGAGTGAGCCAAGAAATAGAGTTGCAGCCGGCTCTTAAAGCTCCTCCATGAAAAGGCACTTTGTGTTTCAGAGCTCCAGCAGGTGTTTGTCTTCACTCTTCACTTCCTAATGCAACATTTTAGTCCTAAACTTTCAAATTTGTGCCAAAATAGTTTCATCCTCCTCCTCATCTGGCCACATCCTGCAGGGTTGAGAGGAAGTCAGTCTTTGATTAGACTACAGTAGTTCCTTGATTATCGTGGGGATTATGTTCTGGACACCCCCACAATAAGTGAAAAACCGCCAAGGAGAGTCTATTTTTATTTTAGTTTTTACTGGTATATATATTTTAAGACTTTATAAACCCTTCCCACACTCTTACAATATTCTAAACTCTTAAACCTACATTATTTTAACAACGTATGTGTATGTACTGCACAGTACTGTACATTTTTTTTATGAGGACTCACCAGCCTTGGTCCGGTTTTGGTCCAGTTCTGATTGGCTCTCGGCAGCCGTTGAGCACCAGACGCTTTTGGAGAGAACCGGACCTTTGGAGAACCAGCACAGAACCACACAATGGTCCCGATAGAGTCCAAATAATCCAAAAGAATCTGGATGAAAAAGTCTGGGTGAGCTCCAGAGAAGACACTGGACCTCCTCACTCGAGAGGCTCCCTGGGCTGGCAAGCAGCGCTCGGACTGACCGATGAGGCTGGAAGTAGCTTTGGTCCGGTTCTGATCGGCTCTCTGCATCCACTGAGCACTGAAGTCACTATGAATAAGGACCAGACTTTTTCGTTTGGATCAAATCAAAACTTTCCCTTCATTTCAACAGAAAGCAACAGCTAGAAGCACTGTTGGCTTCTGGGTAATGTAGTTCTTTTTTGACTGGCCTTACAGTGTAGGTTTATTGAGAGGAAACTACAAATGGTGGCACCTGTCTGAAATATTTATTTATTTTTAACTTTTTATCTGCACCGTCCCAATCATGTGAGTCGTATTAAAGTTGACAATCGTCGAACAAACACGAAAGTCGAACCGCGAAGTAGCGAGGGACTACTGTACAACTTTTTCTAAATTGATGATTATTTGGTACTTTTTATTAAAAGTAGAAATCTAAACTTATGAGGATTCCAGCCTGACCTCACTAACGGACCTTCCTGTGTTTGCTCCTGCAGCCCGCTCTGTGGCCGCTGCAGCTCTAGTCGACGACGCCTCGTCCCAGCACAGCTCCGACCAGTCGGACACGAGGACTGAACACTCCGACGACGATCTGGGGGACAAAGCACCCAAACGCAGCACCGGCACAAAGGCCGCAAAGAAACCTGCGGCTGTGAAGACGGAGGTGAATATCTGCACCAAAATGTCACGTTTAATTTGTCCAGAACAACACGTCCTCCTCTTCTTTTCATTCTGATAAACCAGCTGCATTTATTCTTTGTCATTTCTCTTTCAGACCCAAACCAAGACTGTAAAGAAGCCCGTTAAGAAAAAGACCACCTCTAATAACGCAGAGACCCCTCCCTGAGTCCCGCTGCACTCCAGCCTCCACACAGACACACGTGTATACACGAAGCACGGATCCTGTCACTGCTGCTGGTTTTAGAGGGAAATGCAGATTCTGTTTGTCGTCTTAGCGTTAAAGTGACCTGCTTCAGGTCTGGAGGTTTGCTTCTTGTTGCATAATTTGTCTCACACTTTACACTTAACCTGAGAGTTAACTGGGATTGGTGCCTGAATTATTTTAAAACTTAGTAATTTGATTAAAAATGTTTTTTTAAAACAGAAAGTAAGCTCCTGGATTCTCAGTCATGCTTCAGGTTCACTCCGTTGCCAATTCAGACATTTTAGATGGAGGCTGTTTGTTTTGTATCATTTCTTCACACAGTTCCCTGAAACTGTCTCGCTTCGAGGCCGAAGGTGCACAGTATTGTCTGGTGGCGTATACAACCATCTTTACCCTGACTAAACTAGTCCTGCATAAAGGGATGGGAACGTTTTTAAAGGGTTTTATCTTAATTGTGTTCTCACTCAACTGTATCTAGGTTGACCAGATTTGTTTTGCTTTAAACTTTTTCATTTTGTCCAGTTTTACTTTGATTCTTACACAAGGAAACGGTGCAAGATATAAAGTCTAAGTTTTAGCTTCCCTTTGGTGAGTATTTCTCCTCTCTGTGAATCTGGCTCTGCTACGCTCAGGTCTCATTCAGAGGATTATTTTAATGTGACTTTAAGTCGTCCAGGGGGGGAAGTGGGCCGTTTAGTGCCGGCCATGTTCTCCTCCATTTAGACGCCACTCCCATTCGTTTGTAACTTATTGCATTTCTGCTTTCTGCGCACCTTTTGGTCATGTGATACTTGTAAGAGATGTGTGTAATAACTAAATGTAAGTTTCCAGTCGTACAGAAGACACCGCAGGGCTGGCTGATTCTTTTAGTTTTGTTTTCTAACGTTAACGATTAATCTGCACTTTCACCTTCATACCCAGACGTATTTATACATCATCTTGTAAGAAACAAACGGAGTGTGAGGAGCTGGTTTCTGGTGGGTCTGATTGGGTTCCTTCATGGTTCTTCTGTACCAGTATGAACCAGCAGGGGTGACGAAGTCCACTTTAACGCTTGGATAAACGACTGAAAACCATTTAAACGCAGTACAAGTATGGTAGTATCCCTGAGTGGACGTGCATTTTAAATTTACTCGCCTTATTAATTGTCAGGGGTTAAACGTAAAGTTTTATTTTCTCTCTTGGCCTTGACAAATCATTAATTCTGGGAGGCTGCATCAAAACAAACTTGGTCTGAAAATAAATCCTAAATGTGTTTCTTTAGAGCATTTGAACGCCTTCATTACAAAAGTAGAGAATCTGTAGCTTCCAAGTCGGTGCTCGTCTATTCACGGCCTGCTGTGTTCTCTAGAACGCCTTTATTCTCTTAGTTTCTCTGAAAAGTTTACAAAATCTGAAGGCATTTCATCGCCTTTAAGAAGCTCTACGTTTTTTTTTAAATTCTGCATCATATTTATTGTTAATTATTTGTTTATAATCAGTATTGCAAAGAAACATGGATGTAAATTTGTATATTGTTTGTGCCACTTCTTTTTAGCTTTGAGTAAAAAGGACAGCAGCGTGTGTCTGCTGGCACCGTGCTCGGTCAAGAAATCGCTTCTAATAAAGGAAAACAAATATTTGTCAGTTTTTTGTTGCTACAAATCACTCTTGTGTCAGAATCTGAAAAATAATTATACACAAAATACATTTTTTATAAATGGGATTTAAGGATATAGATGAGAAGTTATGATTAATAATAAAACATTACAACTGTAACTGCAGTGGCAAAGGAAACCATTCTATACAGTATATAAACTACTACTCCCACCTACACCGAACGGAGGCCAAATTTTTTTATCGTAGATGCACTTCAACTGTGAGTGACAATTAAAAAAAAAAATGACTGATTTAAAAATTTAGCATTTTATTGCATGAGATTACATTGATACAATGGATAAACAGAACTGAACATCTGGTACAGAGACCTTTCTTTGCAGTAACAGGTCGGATGTTTCCTGTAGACCAGGTTTGCAGACAGCAGCAGGGATTTTGGCCCACTTCACACGATCTCCAGATCTTTCAGGTTCGGGGCCTGTCGCTGGACAACCTCGAGTTTCAGTTCCCTCCAAAGATTTTTATTGAGTTCAGACCTGCAGACTGGCTAGGCCTCTCCAGGACCTTGCACCACTTCTTTCAGAGCCTCTCCTCAGTTGCCCTGGCTGTGTTTTGAATCGTCGTCATGCTGGAAGACCCAGACATGACCCATCTGCAATGATCTTACTGAGGGAAGGAGGTTATTGGCCAAAATCTCACGATACATGACCCCATCCATCCTCCCTTCAATACGTTGCAGTCGTCCTGCCCCCTTTGCTGAAAGGCACCCACGAAGTATGATATTTCCACCCCCATGCTTCACAGCTGGGACAGTGTTTTTGAGGTTGTACTCATTTCTTCCTCCAAACACAGCGAGTGGAGTTGATACCAAAAAGCTCTATTTTGGTCTCCTCTGACCACATGACCATCTCCCATTCTTCTGCATCATCCAGATGGTCAGTGGTGAACTTCAAACGGGCCTGGACGTGCTGGTGTGAGCAGGGGGACCTTGTGTGCTCTGCAGGATCTTAAACCATGACAGTGTAGTGTTACTAATGGTTCTCTTTGAAACTATGGTCCCAGCTCTTCAGGTCATTGACCAGCTCCTCCAGTGTAGTTCTGGGCTGAATCCTGACCTTTCTCAGAATCATCCCCACGAGGCAAGATCTTGCATGGAGCCCCAGACCTAGTAAGATGGGCAGTCATCTTGAGTTTCTTCCATTTTCTAATAACTGCTCCATCAGTTGCTGCCTTCTCAACAAGCTGCTTGACTATTGTCCTGTAGCCGTGCCAGCCGTGTGCAGGTTTACAATTTTGTCCCTGGTGTCTTTAGACAGCACTTTGGTCTTGGCCATGGTGGAGAGGTTGGAGTGTGATTGAGTGTGTGGACACTGGACAGGTGTCATACAGGTAACAAGCTCAAACAAGTGCAGTTTTTACTGGTAATGAGTGCAGAATTATTTATTAACCTTTATTTAACCAGGCAAATCTCATTGAGATCACAGATCTCTTTTGCAAGGGAGGCCTAAAGGCAGACTAACATGCAGGTTTTTGGTCTGTGGGGGGAAACCGGAGTACCCGGAGAAAACCCACGCAAGCACGAGAAGAACATGCAAACTCCACACAGAAAGACCCCAGGTCCAACCTGGAATTGAACCCAGGATCTTCTTGCTGTGAGGCAACAGTGCTAACCACTGCATCATGCTGCCCAGAATAGGAGGGCTTCTTAAAGAAAGACTAACAGGTCTGTGAGAGACAGACTTCTTGGTGGTTGATAGGTGATCAAATACTTGTTTCATACAATCAAATGCAAATTATATAAAAAAAATCATACAATTCTGTTAGATTCTGTTTCTCGCAGTTGAAATGTATCTACGATCAAAATTACAGACCTCTCCATTTTTTGTAAGTGGGAAAACTTGCAAGATTGGCAGTGGATCAAACGCTGTATTTTCCCCATTGTATAAATAAGTGGTGATGGATAAAAGATACTTTGTACTTGTATATTTGGAAGTACATTTCTGTCCGATTAAATAAAAACATCTAAGCATTAATCATGAGATACAATGTCATATAACTTCGCTGCCATGTCATAATTATGAGTGTTTTTTAAAGATGCTATAGCAGTATCTCAAAGATCATGACGTATCATCTTTAAAATATCGTGTCTCAAAATTATGACAAATACCATATGTATTAGATTTTATAACTATGAAATGCTAAAGAGGATAATTTGAAGATAGTATCTTGTATTTATGTCTGAATTTGTTTTTTCATTGTGGCAAATATGTGCTTCCATAAAGGAGGAAAGTTTTGTTAAATAGCTGTTTATGTAAAAACTAGCCATATATATATATATATATATATATATATATATATATATATATATATAATCAGTTTAAAACTCCCATGAGCCTTTGCTGCAAAAGTAAGGCTTGTTAGATTGTTTATGCACTGTATTGATTACTTCATTGTGGAAATCAATTAGGCAGATAAATACTGTAAAGTATATTTAATTTCAAAATTTGTTTTGCGCATACAGTAGCTGCAGTACCTGTCATCACCACCTGGTGGGGCCCTCTGATCATCCAAGAACGAGAAGGCAGGTGTTGTTCTGCAGAAATAAGAGATTTATAGACAAGTTTGAGCTGAACGAGGCGACCGCCTGGTGCAAAACATTTGACTTTATTGAATGCTTGTTATAACAGGAAATAAATAATCTGAGCTTTGCTGTTCTGGTCTGATCACTAAAATGAATTTGAGTCCAAATTAATTCAACAAAATATACATTTTTAATGCCTTTACCTTAACCAGAACAAATGATGTCTTAAGCCAAACATGGCCTCTCAGTGGGTTATTTCTCCAGGGATGTGTGAGCTGGCCACTCTTCTTTTTACACTTTACCTCTTGAGAATTACAGTTTTTGACAGCTTATGCAACATGTCAGCTAAACCAGGGAGACACTTCCGTGTGTGAATGTGCACACGTGTGTTGCAGAACATGTGCTCTCTGTGTGTTTGTGCTGAAGGTGATGTTAGAGGTGGTCCAGAGCGGGGTCACGGTGTCACGACCTACCTGTCTCATTGTGTGAGGTGGTCCTTGCTGTTTACACACACACCTGTATTCATGCACAGATGTGCTGGACCATTCGTGTGCAGATACTCACATCCCGGTGAAGTGTTGCCCTCAGAAAACAAGCGTGAGGTGATTAACGGGGGGTGCAGTTGTTTGCCAGTAGTGTTAGCAAAATATCTCAAGAACCAGAGGCCACTTAATGAAACTCAAAGCAAATGCTGGAGGTACAACTACAACTAATTAACTTTTGGGGTCAACCCAATTCTTCCAGGCAAACACAAAAATGGTCATGACTCTGTGACTTTTGCAGATATTAAGTTCAAACTTGATGTGG